TCTACCGGTTCAGCTTCGAAGTCGAAAGATAAAACACTATATATGCGCCACGCCGCCAACAGGTAATCTAAACCTAACTCACAGATCCGCCTTCAAGAAAAAAAACCCACAGATCCACTGAAAAAAAACCCTAACCCGATGGATCTTCCCGACGAGTTGGTGGTGGACATCCTCGGCCGCCTGCGGCCAAGGGACGTCGCCGTGTGCCGTTGCGTACGCAAGGACTGGCGCACAGCCATCGACTTACACGGGTTACTGCTTCTTCCAGTGGGTCCCGTGCGAGGTCTCTTCGTCAACTACATTTATAAATGGAGGAACGGCTTCTTCTCCCGAGTTGCGCCGGCGCAGGGGAGCCCATCCATCGACGGCGGGCTCCATTTCCTGCCTGGCCGGCCGACAAATTACCGGGGTGTCCTGGATCACAGCAACGGCCTCCTCCTCTACGAGAACGCGCTGGAGATGCATGTGTGCAACCCCGCGACACGACGTTGGGCGGCGCTGCCCCCGCCGCGTGTGCCGCCCATCTGCCTCCGCCAGCCTCTCTACCGCCGTCGTATGTACCTCTTGTTCGATCCAACCAGGACGCTGCACTATGACGTCTTGTTCCTCCCCGATGCGCCAAAGAAACCTAATTACGTTGGTACCACTCTCCCCGAGGATCAGCCGGGGTCGTCGTCTTCAGAAACACATTACGAGCATGAGTATAACACCACCAGCTCGATGGAGTGGCCACCATACTTGTACCCCGTGCAAATCTACTCGTCAATAACCGGGCAGTGGGCTGACAGAACTTTTGTCCGAGAAGGCAATGTGACGGGTACCATGATGGACGTTTGGTCAGATCCAACGCCACCAACTAGTGGTTTCAACGCGGTTCGACGCCATGGCGTGCACTGGCGAGGAGCGCTCTACGTCCACTGTCGCGGTTTTTTTGTTATGAGGCATGGACAATTCATGCTATGTTGATCTGTTTTTATTATGTCTCGTTCTTGATGCGGCGTTCAATCTAACCAACATGTTTAATCAATTTTTTCATGTCATACACTAGGTTGTCATTAGTGGAGGAGAATTATCGAGTGATCAAAACCCCAAGACTACATGTAGCCGAGTACAACGAAGAAGACGACGATGCTAAAACCTTTGGATATCTCGGAAAATCCAACAATAGGGTATACTACACCGCCATTCGTGGGTACCAATTTCAGGTATGGATATTGCGTGAAGCATCAGGGCTACATCAAGCACCGGAGTGGGAGGTGAAGCACCAAGCTAACCTCAAGCTTGCATTTGTGCGGCACTACAACAAACACAAGATAGGAGAAAATAGTGCCACTTGGGTTTTGAACCCTCGCGACAAAGTATCAGAGGACAGAAAAGAACATGAATGGGACTCTAGTGATGATAGTGAAGATAATGTTGCTGATATGGAAGAAGAGGAGATCAACAACCTCGAGGGCTACAAAAAGCACTATCACTACTACGGCCTAGACCTGTTAGGTTACCATCCTCACAAGGAGATTGCACTTTTAGGCAACAGTTTCAAAGGTTTTGCCTACTACCTAGACAACTCAAAATTAGAGTATTTGGGATCACTTTTCCCAAGTTTTAGTCTAGATATCCGTCCCCGTGCACCCATGTTCGAGTCATTCATCTACACTCCTTGTATGGATGATTTGCTTCCGGCTCACAATGATATTTAGGGTTTATTTGGCTCAAAGGAAATTCATCTGCACTCCATGCATGGGCGATTTGCTTCCGGCTTACAATGATATCTAGTTTGTACTCAAAACTTATGTATTTGTGTTCCTAGTGAGTCAGTTAGATCTTCAACTACTGATGTTTGGGACCATTTCTTAGGCTGTCAATTTCTCAAGGCTCATCAACGTTGTTCTTTACTTTTGACATACAGGAGTCCCTCGATTAATTAGCAGATATCTTGCTAATGAGGTGAATTTGGTCATATAAATGCTAATGGCCAAAGAAGAAGGTAACAAGTCCTGTCAGTTTCTCTATTGGCTTCCAATTCAATGTATATCCATGTGCTTTTTGCTGGACATCTGACGGTGATGCTAGTGTCCTGCTCCAGTGTTACATATAGAAGGGTTGCTTGTGTTGTTGGGTTTCTTAAAAAAATCACTCCATTTCAAAATATAAGGTGTATTACTTTTTTTTAAAGTCAAACCTTTTAAGTTTAATCAAATTTGCAGAGAAATATATCAAAATCCATAATATCAAATCGGTATTCTTAGATTCACCACGAAATGAATTTTCATACCTTTTTGTTTAATACTATGGATATCGATATTTTTGCTCTGAACTTGATCAAAGTTAAAGAATTTGACTTTCTAAAAAACTAATACCCCTTATATTTTATAATTGATGGAATATTTAGTTTGGCGGATGGGGAGACCATAGATAGTGTTTTGTTTTTATTTATAACGCGGTGATTTGGTGGGCCTTTCGTGGTGTCATTCCGTGTTATCTGTGAACCAACCTATATTTATGTGGGAAAATTGCTGTGTCTGTGGTTGCATGTACTACATTGATGCCACAATATCACATGGTGGCGCTTCATTTTTTTAGGTGGTGGAAGGGTGCGTGGGATTGATATGTTTTTATAGGTTGGTTTCTGCGGATTGATTTGGAAAATCATTTGCCCAATCAAAATCATAAACCAAATCAAAATTGAATATTTCAATTGAATGAAAGAGCTTCAAAATTTAGAAACATAGTGGATTAAAAGAATTGAATGGGAGAGCTTGACAAGTTGTTGACCTGGTCAAAATCAGATGACCCAATTCTAAATGGAATATTTTTATTAATTGTGAGGACATAAAAATTAGGAAGCACAATGTATCTCTACTACTGTTAAACAAGAAAACATTAATTACCCTAAACGCACCCCGCCTAACACACACGGAAAGAAACACATGAAATAAAGGGTCACGATCAGCCTACTTATATAGATCTAACCGTCTACATAACAACTAACCTCGTGAAAAGTACCTCAAGCAATTTTTGGAGATGGATGAAACTCTGCCATCCTCGTACGAAAGGTTCGCACCCACATCCAGGCTCCGGCAACGTCTCGTGCTCTCCACCACGGGGAGGGCTTGTTGATTGCGGCAAGAACATAGAGCACACTATCAGTGATTGATAGGGATTCCTTGTGATCTGTTATGTCGGCCTATTGGTGAGATTTTGCCTCCCGCGCCGCCCTGTGCCGCCGCCTCCACGACCGTAAGAACCATGGACGGATTTCCATGTCTATCCGATTGATGGGTAAGTAACCTTATCAACATCTTGTTTGATCTGTGTAGCTACCCAATGTAGTTTTGAATACCCGAGCCTCTTCATGGGTCTTCGTGGATGAGGACACGCGTGATTCATCTAGACCAAACTGCCATCGTCATGAGAGCCAAAACGGATTTCCGCTGACCAGGTTTCTGTGTGCTACTCCTTGTCATGTATTGACTCACAAATAGATCCATGTGAATGTATATGCTAATGTTTCTCTTCAAAGAAAAAATAAACAATTTATCCTGACGAATGGATGTATATCTATGGTGGATGACCTCTGTCATTCTTTTGCAGGTCATAATATGCATTCACACAATTCAAATTCATGCTCTGGAAGGATATTGACCAACTAACCATGTATTAATTGTGTTGGTGCAATAATCTGCCTCCTTATGTTCTGGAGTTTGTTGACATGAATGGTATGAGACCTATGTGTTTGCTAGTGCGCACAGAGTAACAGGTCCCTGGAATCAAGAGGAGTTTGATTCAAATGCCGAAGTTAATCCCCTGCGTGGCAGTGAAGGTTAACACCGAAGATTATGATAACAAGAGTGACCACTCAAAAATTGCTGACGAGAAGCAATTGGTTTGGTGCTCATCTGAAGTAAGTGACAGCGACTGAGAAGATTGAATACAAAGTGAAGAAGTAGCATTTATTTCATTGTTTCTCTACTCTTTATTGAGTCACAGGACCACCGTACTATTAAGAGGGGTGCAGCATTCGAAGCTTTGATTCTCTGATGCTAAACCCAAATCCTATGAAAGTTGTGAGAGAAATCTCTTTGTGTTCCGAGCAAATACTTGCCAGCAAGAGACTATGATCTTCTTCGCCGCGAGAGATTTGTCTCTGACCGAGGAGTTAGCATTACTTGTTCCTCAAGTAATGTTACCGTTGCTCGTGAAATCCAACCGTTGTAAACATGTCGGTTGGCCATTGGCTGAACCGCGTGCCCAAAATGGTCATTTCCCACCAGGGAATGTTGCGGCTATAAATAGCCACCCCGCACCGGCGTTGTCCGGTGGTTGCTCCATTTGATCGTGAGAATATTGTTGAGCAACCCCCTCTCTAGAGTGATTTGAGTTTAAAATCCACCGAGAGAAAACCCCTAGAGCCGAAAAATTAGACAGTGGTTCAACATCACTCGAATCTAAGTCCAATACGCTCTGCCTATTACTCTTGAGAGCTGCAAACTCTCTAAACGGTTAGCTGTCAATCTCTTTAGATACAAGAGTAATTGTGGTTCTCAAAGAAGAAGTCTGTAAAGGTTTGGAGATCGCCTCAAGAATCTACCACGAGTGATCGACATTGGTTGACGAACCAATTGTCCAGGAGAATAGGGTGAAGAGAGTTTATCTTCCGTGTTAAATCACAACCCCTCTGAGGGAGTCCTGGATTAGGGGGTATCCGGACAGCCGGATTATATCCTTCGGCCGGACTGTTGGACTATGAAGATACAAGATTGAAGACTTCGTCCCGTGTCCGGATGGGACTCTACTTGGCGTGGAAGGCAAGCTAGGCAATACGGATATGTATATCTCCTCCTTTGCAACCGACCTTGTGTAACCCCAGCCCCCTCCGGTGTCTATATAAACCGGAAGGTTTTAGTCCGTAGGACCATAGGCTAGTTTCTAGGGTTTAGCCTCTCCGATCTCATGGTAGATCAACTCTTGTAATACTCATATCATCAAGAATAAATCAAGCAGGACGTAGGGTTTTACCTCCATTAAGAGGGCCCGAACCTGGGTAAAACATCGTGTCCCCTGCCTTCTGTTACCATCCGCCTTAGACGCACAGTTCGGGACCCCCTACCCGAGATCCGCCGATTTTGACACCAACATTGGTACTTTCATTGAGAGTTCCTCTATGACGTCGCCGTAAGGAAGGATGCCTCATCTCGTTGTTAAAAACAACATTACCGCCGGGGGAGCCCTGGCTGTCGGCCAAACTCTCCGTCTAGGTAGTTTCGTCATGACCGCCTGTTCGGCTGCTGCACTGACGATGACTCCTCGGGTCATTCAAAACAGCCTCCACGTCAGCTCGGAATTCGCCGAGCAGATGGATCCAATGGATCTCTCTTCCCTAAACGAGCTCTTGGATCGCATCGCCGCCCTGGGAGTCGCTACGGACTATGATCGGATTGGGCTTAAACCCGATCAAAGGGAGATTAACTCTCCATCGGTCACCCATCACATTGCGGTGGTGGAGGAACAATGCGGCAATTCTTCCTCTATTTTGAGGACTAACTATGTCCGGATTCCTGAGCTCTCCGAGCCGGATACCCGCGTACGGGAGGACATCACCCAAGCCCTGAACCTAGAATCAGGCAGCGGGCCAGACTTATCGGGTAGCACTCTGGAACCCGAACTTCTAGGATTGGAAACTCCTCGGCCCCTGGGTCTCAGATCGGGTAGGGGTTCGGACTCAAATCCACCCACCCACCCATACATAAACGATCTTTCCCACATCAGGCAAGAGCCCCATGAAACAACACATCATTATTGGGCTAGATTCCTCCTTGTGATGAACAAGGTTAAGGACTGTCGCGACACTATAGGAATCAGGATATTTGCCGTCTGTGGATCACAGACGGCAAAGACCTGAATACAGACGGCAAAGTCAGACGGCAAAGAGAATGTCGGCAAAGAATTCTTTGCCGTCATCTTTTTATCGGGCAGATGGAAAATACTTTGCCATCAGCCGAACTCTATCTTTGCCGTCAAGCCCAATAATAGCAGACGGCAAAAAACGCATCTTTGCCGTCAGCTAGGCTGTGCCTTTGCTGTCAGCCTCGGTCACCCAAGACGGCAAAGGATGTTTTATTATTTATAAAAAAAGAACAACAGTTCAGGTGCGCTGGGTGTGGTCAATGTTTCTTGGTCAAAGGCGTAGGCAAAACCCACAACTAACAGTATAAGAATCAATGACTAAAGAACAGATTTTACAAGATAGAACTAGTCTATTTACACAGTATATTGATCATCACTTACTTATCAATCAAAAAACTACTCTATTTCAACTTCTGAAAAAACACTCTAATTTACAATGACAAACTGGGCAACTGGCCCTTGCAGCGCACGCGTCGCCGGGGAGGTTGAGATCCGCGCCGGCCGAAGAAGTGGAGGGCTCCGTTCCCCTGCCATGGTCACAGCTCGTCCATAGACGAGGAGGTCGAGGGCGAGCGCAGAGGAGGGAAGGGCCCGCGACAGGAAGGAGGTAGATCCCGCGGCCGCCCGGCACTGCTCGCCGCGCCGCTGCCCAGCCGCGCACGCCACTGCCCTCTGCCATGCCGGATGCAAGTCGCACTCGCCCGCGCCCGCCCGCCGCCGCCCTCGCCCGCGCTGGCCCGCGTCGGCCGCCCGCACCCTCACCCGCGCCGGCTGCCAGCCGCGCTCGCCTGCC